TGGAATTACAATAGGTATGATGTTGTGAGAGGAATATGGAAAGGGGTCATGGTTCCTGGGCTGACATTCAGCAATGCGGTCTTGTGCATGAGATCAGAAGTTCAAGCAAGATTAGAAATTAAGCAACGTGGAATAGGTAGGCTTGCTTTAGCAGCTCACGGGAATACACCAAATCAGGGAGTACAAGGTGATATGGGATGGACATCATTTGAGGGCAGAGAAGCTAGCAGCAAGATAAAATTTGAGAAGCGATTGAGAGAAATGGGGGAGGAGCGTTGGGCTAGGAAGGTTTTCAGGTACTTGTACATGAAGAGTGTCGATACAAAACGGAGGAAGCGAACGAGGAAGTTGACTGGTAAATACTTAGGAAACAGCAGGTGGCCAAACCAAAAAGAACTATCGGTTAAGAAGAAAGTGAAGGAAACGGAGACTGACATGTGGAGAATGGGCATGATTAAGAAGTCCGCACTAGATATCTATCGAACTTTTAAGCAGGAAATTGCCAAGGAAAGGATCTATGATAATACTCAGGGTAGTTCTCTACTGTTTGAGGCCAGAATGGGAGTACTGCGAACCAAGACGTATCGGGCCAAATACGAAGGGGTAGACACAGTATGCAGTGCGTGTGGAGAGGAAGAAGAAACTGCCGAACACTTGATAATGTTCTGTAAAGGGCTTCACCCTATAGTTCAGGATGATGGCGCAGAGTTTTTCAAAGCACTGGGGTTTAGGGACCGGGAGGGCAAAATAAACTTTAAGCGGGTAGACTTAACTAGAAGGAGGTGATCTGATTGGTGGCTAAAGTCAAGGCACGAGTGAAAATTAAACTCTTCACTGCAAAGTACGAATCCTCAAACTCTTTTTTAAGGAAAAAAAAAATAAATATAGTTTTTGGTTCATTAGGTATTACGGCTTGGTGGCCCTAGCCACCGCCCGATCTAAAGGGTACAGCCATATCCATCCATCCATCCATCCATCGGCAGAGCCTGTTCACTGACTCCGGTGCTACCGCCGGCACTGACGGGTGGGTCCTTCATTGCGCGTTTGTAAGCGCGGCAAGCTTAAAGAACAAAAGTGTGATACCACTCCCGTGTGCCATTTAAATATTTAGGAGAGAACATATGCAAGAGAGAAAGAATAAGTACGCAAGATAGCACATTGAACAGAACACCATACCTTCAAGGAAACGGTAGAGAAACTTGTTTATTGCGTATTAATTAATTCGCAACCTGCGGAAACGAACAAGAGGGCGTCGATCGAAACGTTCCTCACACGCACACAGTCTGACGAGCTTTAGTACCCTCGTTGACACTGTTCACAAGCAGCAATCACAATTTTAGCAATCACAATTTTTTTTTTTTCTGATCGTCGCGTCACTTCTCGGGGCTTTTGTCGAAGGCTGCAAGTAGCGCGGATATTCTTCGAATACGCTAGGCACCACACCTTTCATAAGCCTTCGTGTTTTACATCCTTGCTTAAAATCAGAAGCAGCGAAATGACGACTGCACACGGTTGAGTAGCAGGAAGTGGTGTTCGGCGTCCAATTGTCTCGTGAAATGACTTTTATCCACTTTTGCCGCAACTCCTCGTCGCTTGGAATTTCGTGGAATGAAATTCCTACTTCCTTCTTTTTGCTTGAAGACTTGCAACCGGGCACGCAACAGTACGCCATCGCACCTGACGCGGGTCATCACAGCCGAATGAACCACGGAGACTTGTGTGCATAGGCCGCTGCACGAGACAGAAACGAGAGAAACCGTAAACTAACATTCCTGATTACTTAGCGAAAATCGCTGATAGGTGCGCGGAAAAGCCTCACGAGAAAGAAGCGCGAAAAATGATAGCCGGGCTTGACAACGGCCGTGGAAACGCGGGGTACAAACGACGTTGTTTGTTTATACGCACTCAGTTAATGCCGCGTGTCATCTGCTCACGCAACACAATGAAGCAACAAATACTTGCTGAAAGTACTACGTACCGTTTTGGTCGTAAATAATTGGTGTTGCAAACGTATGCGACACGAACAAAGGTTTCCTGGAGATGCGTCGCCGCGGCTGAATGCGCCGACTCGATTCTGGGATGCGAGCGCCCCTGGCGGACAGCAGACGCAAAAAGAGAGGAGGATGCGGGAGGCGGCCAAACGGGCCCGGCGGACTGACTGCGCGGGCACAGAAAATAAAGGAGGCTATGGCCGAGCGATCCCTGGGCGTTGTAGGCTTCGGCTCAAGATACGAAGCCTTCAAACCCTCTACACCGGACGTCGACGGGGTTCCCGCAGTCTGCCCGTTGCCCTGGCTCGTGCCAATGCATGTCGACGCCTGTGGCGGGGCCTTGTTGACTGAGGCCGGAGCAGCCTTGGCTGCTCCCGCAGTAGGGGCAAGCGGCGGTCGCTCCAGCACGCTGTGCATAGCTTGGGCGGCCACCTGATGCTGTCGTGGTGCTGCCCCCTGTTGCACCACTTGAGCAAATGATTTTGTTGCAAAGAAAGGAGAGACCCGGGGCCGGATTCACAAAACTCACTCACGAAAACATTTTTGCGCAAGAGAAATTTTGTTGCGTAAGTCGATTCACGAAACGAAAAAACATCGTAAGAGGCCATCGTTGTCACATCGGCCGCTGCAAATAATGCGCGCTGTGACTACACGGGAACATGTCAGCGATGGTGATGCAGTTGCTATATTTGCTTACGTCACCGAAAAGTGTTCGTAAGTGGATTCACGAAGCAAAGTTTTGCGTAAGAACAGCCTGGCTATGAGAAAATCCTAAGAGTGGTCCGGACCGCTCTTGCGAACAATGTGGCTGCTTATAAATTGCAGCCGCGGCGGGATACATGGGTGCCGTGGCTGATTTTGAGTTTATTGATGGCCATGTAAGGCTGCCTGATGATTACTGGTACGTTTTGGTTTATTCCGGTGCTTTGAGTTCATTTGTTGTTTCCCTCGGATGCAATGGACAGTATTGGCAATCAAAATCATCCAATAAGGTTGGCACCGCAGTAATTAAGGAATTCTATTGGGCGTCAGGGGCGTATAATGATACTCGCAAAGACATGTGGTTGGATGAAAACCAAAGTGCGATGTGAATGGTTGGTGAACTCGAAAGCAGCGCGGTATATGGTCAAAATATTTTGTGATGTTGTTGTGGTGCGTTCCAAATCTTCCAATAAAATGTGCAACTTGTGATGTCTGCCCGATTGGTCCAGATTACCACCAAAGAGTTTAAGAAGAGCACACCACCTTGATGCTATTGGATATCGGAGTGGGAGGAACTTTTATAGTTAGCCATTCATAAAGCCTATTCTGTGGTTGCACTTTCATATACTTCGATTAGATATAACTGTCCAATGAACACGATCTGTGAAAAGCTGACACCCGCTTAAAGTGGTGTCAGCTTTTGCAAGGGCAGATGCCTCGGCTTCGGCGCCAGCGCGACCACCATTTTGGCGCCTCCGGCCGGTAGTTCGTGCTTGGCGTGTGAGGTGTTGTTGGGCAGTGTTCATTCCCTTCCAGTTTTATGCACCCATCTCCGCATCACCATGCCCGGCTGCTGCGTGCTGTAGTGCTCGAATTACTCGAGAAACGGATGGAAGTTGTACCGGTTTCTAAGAGACCCAAAAAGAAGGCTTCTTTGGACCGTTAAAATCAAACGAGACAAGTGGCAACCGACTAATACGTCGCACGTATGCAGCGTAAGTAAACGTTTTTTTTTAGTGCGCCGTATTCTGACTGGTCAGCATTATTTAGGGCGCCAATGTTTTTTATTTAGGTGCGCAATGTAAACGCAGGACAGCCAAACGTCGTGCAGGGTACTGTGTGGCGTGCTCATGTTAAAAGACCACGCTTTAAGAAAATGCGTCAAGTACGGGGGCTTCGGAAGCCCCCATGTCGATAACATTTCATGCTGGTTCAAGGGCCTCGAGTGTGCTACTACATTCATAGGAATTGCGACTAGTTTCAGTGCCCTTGCACGGAAAAGTGTTGCCTTGGCAGCAGCGTTGTGAAATCCTTCCCACCCCCTACCCGAGGCTGTTAATTTCGTGCGCTGCGCTTCGCAGCTATTGTGCTCGCGAGACCGGCTGCCGCTGTCGTGACCGTCCGCCTCGCGGCCCGAAGACAGACTTCGTGAAATTGCCGTACTCGCTCACCAACTCACCCCGACAGCGTACGCGTCGACCGGGTGCTGGCGGAGTTGAGCTGAACGAAAAGTAGGCAAGAGATGGGGACGCAGGAGGTGTAGTTAAACAGATGAGAATTTAGAAAGTGGAGGAGGGAGAAAATTATATGCAAAGGCAGAAAACGGGGAGTGAGTTCAGGCCGCCGGCCGGCGAGCGAGTACGGAAATCTGACGGCACCTGACTGCTGCCGAGCTTCAAGAGTACGGCACGTAGAGTTCACGTAATTCACATAAGAGGAAATTGGACGTGAAATGCGCGCATATGGCCGGTATCTAAGCCGGTATCTGCTCCATGTGTTACATTTGTAAAATTAACAAGCTAGACATGAACTGGCATTGCTTGAATATGTTCATGAATACATACATTTCTGCTTGCAGAACTGCCTAAGGAACGAAAGCCACCAAAAGAAAGAACTGTGCCTGCACCCTCCAGCAACGAGACCAACAAATCTCCTCTTGGTCTGCGTCGATCTCCAGCTGCAGTTAAAACTACCCTAGAGACCCCACAAAACGACGCCGTTCCTGAATCTACACGGCAAGGAACATTGTGTTATGGACACGACACCGTGGAAGTTGACGACGCCGTTGTTGAACTGTCAGCGAACATTAGTGATGCAGATTCAAGAGAAGTTAATTCAGCGGCTGGTGAAACATCAAATTCTACTGCAGAATCAGCAGAACTGAAGAAGAAGCAAGCGGTAGTGTGCTTCGCATGCTGCCCCACTACGGCGGGAGCCGTAATGGCGGCCGTCGTAGCAGACGACGCGGCAGTCCTCACCCTCAGCGGAGCGCGCGGGCATCAAGGCCCCCTACCCTTGACCTATGCTATGCGAACTATAGAGTACGTCCTGGCAGCCATCCCTGGTCAGCGGCAACCTTCCCTCCGGAAAGAGCGCACCTTCCACCGGCGCTTAGCCTTGGACGATGTTCCAGACCATCACTTGCGTTACTACAGGTTCCCGAGGGAACATATTCGGGCCCTTTGTACGACACTAGAGCCTCGACTGCAGCGGCCTACGGCGCGGTCTCACGCCTTACCGGTGGATGTGCAAGTGCTGCTCGCTTTGCGCTTTTACGCAAGCGGCAGTTTTCAGTTTATCGTAGGGGACACGGTTGCCGTGAGCCAATCGAGTGCGTCGCGCATTGTGGCACAAGTAACTGACGCCCTGTGCTCGCTGGCTGCGGAATACATACGCTTCCCGACGACAATTAGGGCTGCTATTGCTACGGCCATCGGTGAGTTGAACTTTGTCAACTAATGTTGTTGCATGACGTATAGTGTCATAACGACTACAGTGTTTTGTTAGTGTGGCAGATTTAATGTTAACCAGTGCAAATCTCTTGAAAGCTACTACTAGGCTACCACGCATCTTGGTATCAGCAATAATTTGCAGAATATTCTGCTACACGAGGGAGAAGTTTCTACAGCTTACATTGTTGAGCAATTTTTAGTTGTTTGCCGTAAGCTTGGTTTTCCCAGTTTAATTGGAACCTTTCTGTTCACTAAGAAGTGTCACAGTCTTGGGGAAGGTAATTTATGTAGTTAAAGTTCCTGGACTCATGAAGCTGTTTTTACAAATTATTTTGATTTCAGGTCACTAGTTGCATGCAACGTTATTTCGGTGGCAGCACCAATATGTCACCAAAATGCATGGTTATGCAGCAAAATGTTTATGTCTTTATCACACACTGCCTTGCTCGCCATCTCGAGAACCTAATCATTTGTGAGATGTCTCAGCTCACTCCTTTACGAAACATACCGACATGCAGAGCTTGTGGGGTATTTCACAGTGTTTCAAGGTGCTCAAATGTATAGGTGGCCTTGACGAAATGATGTCATTACCTTACTGGCTAATATGTCTCAGCAGCACTTTCAATTGCTGTTCATTTATGTTCTTTTTAGCCTTTTCGCAGATAGCTGGGTTCCCCAAGGTCCTAGGTTGCATTGATGCACTCGTGCAAATCAAGCCTCCTAAGGGCCAGGAACACTTGTACAGGAACCGAAAAGGCCTGTACACAATCAATGTACAAGCGATCTGCGATGCTGAGGGTGTCATTACCCAGCTGGTATTGAAATGGCCCGGCAGCACCCACGACAGCTTCATCTGGGCCGACTGTGACCTTTGAAGGTGCTTTCAGAGACGGGAAATGCCCGACGGCTGGTTACTAGGTAATTTCTTTTGAAAGATATACTTGCAAAAAAACAGGAAAGCATTTCCTGTGCTTGCCTCCTGAACTTCTTTTAAAATGTTTTAATAGTAGTTGTTTGCAGTGTTCTCACACAAGGTTGTTAATTGTACTCTCGTTATCAAGTATACCAGACAAGGACAAATGTTTATACAGTGATTGCTCCAGTTTAATTTATTATGAACAGGAATGGCAAGCTTTAGTATTAAACTTTACAGTTCCTGTTGTCCTTTGCTGTGCTTGCAAGCCTGTCTCTCTCTCTCTCTCTCTCTCTCTCTCTCTCTCTCTCTCTCTCTCTCTCTCTCTCTCTCTCTCTATATATATATATATATATATATATATATATATATATATATATATATATATATATATATATATATATATATATATATATATAGTATACAAGTACGATATGTATACAAGTAGAAAAGTAGATGCGCTTTCATATAACTGTATATTCAGCCGGCATTTAGACACGTCGAAACGTTGGCTGAATAAACAGCTATGCGAAAGCACATCTACTTTCATACTTGTAACCTTGTGGCAATCGAAGTTATTTTTCTGCATGTGTGTGTATATATATATATGTGTGTATGGGTGTGTTTGTTTGTGGGGGTGTGCACATACGTACATTTTGCTGTTTGCCACTGGTTTGAAGTCAGTTGCAATTTAAACCTGATGCCACTAAAATGAAGTAATAGTGCAATTTGCCTGTGTTTCATAATTCTGCGAACTATTTTCTTTGGCATTTTCGCATCGTACATGTTTTCAGGCTATATGTCTATCTTTAGGTTTTTGTTCATTTCGGCCCTGTGACATGAGTACACCCTTGCTCCTCTGCTAATGTGACTCTGGGTATGCTTTAGAGCCATGGCTGCTCACCCCTGTAAGGTCTCCGGTTGGCCCTGCCGAGGAGCAGTACGTACAACTCAGCCCACACTCGGATGAGGCAAGTCATTGAGAGGACCTGCGGGGTTCTCAAGGGACGCTTCAGGTGCCTGCACCAGTCCGGGGGTGCTCTACAGTACAGTATGCTGATGTGCACCAAAATACTGGTGGCAAGCACTATGCTGCACAACATGTTTGTCCGACATGGCATTGACTTCAGCTTTACTGATGGTAAGTGATTGCTGTGGCTGTAGTAGCTTTATTAACTTGTTTTGCAGAACAGGTGCTTGGGTAGAAGAAATATTGAGACAACTGCTGCTCTAGCAATTGCCAACTGCCGTGCTGTTCGAGAAAGTGATCTTGCTCAAGCTTCAAAGATGTGCAGAAGTAGATATTTCATTCCTTATAATGAAAAGTTCACTGTTAGCGTGGTCAGCTCCTACTTCACAGCTTGGTTCTTTCAGAAAACATCGAGCTTGCACTAACAAACCGGACATGATTTGCCAGTTCCTCTGTGTAAATGTTTTGAAGTTTCTACAGACCTGTACTCTAAAAACATATGCTGCGAGTAATACTACCATAAGATATTAGTGAAGGTTTGGAGAAGAATGGTTGTACTGCACATGCATAGTAAATTGAAACGAGAGTGTAGCTGCTAAAACGCGTAGCTCAGGAACAGGGGTTCCATGTATCATTGCTTTTTTATACAAGTTTCTTTAGCCTTGTCAGGACGTCAGTGTTGCTCCAAGGAGGAGGGAACTTCACACATTTTCCCTGTCCTGGTAGTCGCACTGCATTGACAGCCACATAGTAGAAGACCAGTACAGTGAGATGTTGATGCATCCTAAATGAGTGCTGGATGGTCGATTTATCCTGAGCGATGATATCGCATGTTGATATATCTGTCTTGAGATCTAAAACCTTAAATATTATTATGATTAGATTATTATTATTTTATAACAGATTTATGAAAAGGCAAAATTACCAGATGTGACAGTTTCCTATTTTCACGGAAACATGTTCCTATGAGCAGATTAATTTTCATATACTGTTTCCTGTATAAAGCACTGTGATTTTTTACCAAACTCAGGCACACCACTGTGAGCTCCACAATTTCTTAGCTTTGCTAAAAGTATGCAGTTTGAGAGCTTTTGTAGGGGGAAATCTTTGTAATGTTTATTAGGCTAAGCAAAACGGTGTCAGTGTGCTTAATCCATACTGACAATTACTGCCATAACTTAGTCTGTGAAGGTTGCATTAGTAAATGCATCATTAAAGTATGCGCAGAAAACATGCTCGTTTTTTTTTTTCGGCACAAAGCTTCTGGAGCACCTTAAAGCCTGATATTAAGACACTAGTTAGAAGATAATGTGCAAGGTTTTGCTTCACAACAAACATGTGTTGCAGTTATGTATAAAATCTGTTAACGGGAATTGTGTTGAACCGACCAACAAACTTGTCTTTGTCGAAGTTCTGTTCTATCCTTGAGGAAGAGGAGTGAACTTGTGAAATATTAGGTTCGACAGAAACCTCATTTACAGATTTTTTTCATTGAAAGCTTCTATCGTCTCCTTCCTGCCATTTTTTACATGTTCCGGTAATGAAACAGACGCTTGAAAGTCTTCAGCCATCCATACCTGTACAAATTTTGTAGCTAGCAGTCCTTTGCAAACAGTTGTATGGTCTTTTGCAAAGCACTCCTTATACCAATCTGGTCTGTGAGCAATACACAAGTAAAATTTTGTACACGAATTATAAGGTTCACATGAGTGCACTAGTGTGGGTAACAAGAGAAAAACTTTTGCTTGGCTGTGTGTATTTTATTCAACGGTCAAGTCTGAAACACTGGTTGGCTGCAAGCTGAACATTCATGCAGCATTGTCGTTTAGCAAATGTGATTTCATGTATCATTATTTGCGATTATAATGCTTATAGATCCTTGCTGCCTTGCTTTGCAAATGACAAAAAACAATTCATGCTGTGGTGTCTAAAATAATTTCCTTCTTTAAATATGCGGCGAGCAAGACATGGAACATTTATACTTGGAGCAGTAAATTGTCACTGGAAATTCAGGTGTAAGTGTGGACACCATAATGTTATAAGTTCTACGTAAAAAGGCGTGTCTACAATAGAGCAACTCGACACTTATTTCGATCGGCTGATTGTGCACACTGCAACGAAACAAACAGTCTGCCTATGGTCTCAGGGAGGCTCCGTTCAGTCCTTGTTATGCCCACAGCCTTTAGTTGGCCAATTCTCAATTGGAGTCACACTGGGGGGCACACGCAGTGACACCTACTAAATTTGCACAAAAAAATTCGCGACTGCTTCTCATTTCCAGCCATCCTTCGGGCATTGCCATTGTCCCTTTTGTGGTGAGGGGTCGGGGGGTCGGGACAGACAAAGGCAAAGCGAAGGAATGACTTTTGTGGAGTCCGCAGGATGACCATTAAAGGAGCCCTCCAACACTATTCAACCTCTTATGTTTTATACGTGTGTTGTGTACACTGAAGTACACACTAATGCAACAAGTTATTTGACTTAGAAAATTCAAAATACAAAAACCAGAGTGTGGACCCTCAACTCGATTTTCACAGGGTCACTTGACCGCATTTATTTATTTATTTATTATTTATTTTATTATACCCCTCAGGGCCAGAGGCATTACAGAGGGGGAGTGGTAAAAGCACAAAAAGGTAACAAAATAAAAGAACAAAATATGCAAGTACAATAGAGACGCACTTTAGAAAGAGCCTGAGTATACAATATTAGCTACAGAATTGCGAAAATGTTTACAGTTATTAATGTTTACAATGTCAGCGGGAAGGCCATTCCAATCGCGAGAGGTTCGTGGTAGAAATGATTGATAAAAGTACTCAGTATTACATGAAGCGAATCCAACTTTGTGACGATGATCAGTGCGATGGGATACATAAGATGGTTGAGGGATGAGTCGATCGCGCAGATCAGGATGATGATACATTTTATGAAACAAGACAATGCGTGACACTTTTCTGCGCAGTGATAATGATGGGAGGGAAAGGTCTGATTTCATAGAAGTTATGCTGGCGGTGCGACTGTAATTAGCGCGAATGAAACGTACAGAGTTGTTCTGAACCATCTCTAGAGCAGTAATTAAGTTGATATGGGTGGGATCCCACACCGATGTAGCATACTCTAATTTCGATCGGATTAGTGTTTTATAGAGCAGGAGTTTCAAGGAGGAAGGAACGTGATAAAAATTTCGACGAAGATAGCCTAACATGCGGTTAGCTTTGTTAATTAAGTGCTCGATATGAGCAGACCAGTTTAGGTTTGCAGTAATGTAAACACCGAGGTATTTATATGAAGTTACTGATTCTAAATGAATGTTATCAATGTGGTATGGTGGTGGACGGGAAGATTTTCTGGAAACACGCATGACTTTACATTTATTAATATTTAGTTGCATTAGCCATTCACTGCACCAGTCTGCGATTGCGCCAAGATCAGACTGAAGTGAGGCAACATCATTAGAGTTCGTTATCTCTCTAAAAACAACACAGTCATCCGCGAATAGGAGAATATTAGAGTTAACAACGGAAGGAAGATCATTAATATAAATTAGGAATAATAAAGGCCCAAGGACTGAACCTTGAGGAACTCCCGAATAGACATCTGTAAACTCTGAGTTAAAGCCATTAAAAGAAACAAATTGTGAGCGGTTTAAAAGGAAGCACTCAATCCATTTCAGTAAATTAATACCAATATTAAGCGTGTTTAGTTTAAGCAGTAGCAATTTATGACAAACCTTGTCGAATGCCTTAGAAAAATCTAAAAATATGCAGTCAATGATCGATGATCGATCTAGTACTTGATGTAGCGCATGAGTAAAGGTTATTAGCCGAGTTTCACATGAGTAATGTTTTCTAAAACCGTGTTGTGCTGAACAGAAAAAAGAGTTGGATTCTAGAAAACCGACAAGGTTAGTGAAAATAATATGCTCAAACATTTTACAACATGTGCTGGTTAAGGAAATGGGGCGATAGTTAAGTGGAGATGTCTTGCTTCCAGACTTGTGAATTGGAATGACCTTCCCAATTTTCCACTCATTTGGAAGAATGGACTGATCAAGAGACTGTTGAAAAAGTTTAGTTAAGATTAACGAAGCGTAGGCCGAAGTGTTTTTCAAGAACTTGTTACTAATATTATCACAGCCGGGAGCTGAATGAAGGCTAAGTCCACCAATGAGCTCAAGAACACCAAGTGTACTGATTAGTATAGGTGGCATACTTTCAAAGGTATGGCTGTTTGTTGTGGGGTTATTAACAGCAGAATGGGCAGAAAAGTTCTCAGCAAATGTACGGTTAAAAACTGAGGCACAAATATCAGATGAAATGGGGTCGCCAGAGGAATCGGTCAGTGTGATAGCGTCATCGGTTGAGGGATTAAAAGTTCGCCAGAATTTCTTAACATTTGTGGTTAACATGGAAGGTAGTACATGGGAATGAAAATGTTTTTTTGCATCTCGAAGGGCTTGAATGTACAACGTAGACGCTGTTGCATATAAAGCCCAACGTTCATTAGAAGGCGAAAGTTTTGCGGCGCGAAAGAAACGCTTTTTCCTGTTTGACAAACGCCGGATATGGCTGTTGTACCAGGGTGCATTTGAGTTGTTGGTTACACTGCGGTGTGGGATGTACTGTTCAGTGAGTTGAATTATTTTATCTGAAAACATATTCCAATTAGTTTGTACACTGCGATCGTCAAAACCGTCAAGAAAAAGATCAGTGAAGGTAGAAAGGTCATTGTTGATTGCCTCAAAGTCACCTCTGTTATAGTCACGAATGATTTTCTTCTTTTTCTTTGTTTTTGGGTGGGCTAAGTTAATGGAAAAATGTAGAAGCAAATGATCGCTAAGACCCGGAAGGTACGTTATGGGCGATATTATATCAGAACTGTTTGTTAGAATTAAGTCTAATGTGTTTGCAGCGTGAGCTACTATTCTGGTTGCTTGTGTACACATTTGCTGTAAGGAAAATACCGAGCAAACGTCTAAAAATTCGCGAGCTTGGGACGAAAGCGGAAATATTAAAGGGGAATGGGAATTCCAGGTTATGTTGGGAAAATTGAAATCACCCAGCAAGAGCAACGGCGATGTAGGGAAACGCGTACTAACAACGTTTATGGCATCTTGAAGTTCGCTACTGAATGTAGGCGAGGGTGAGGGTGGGCGGTAGCATACCCCGATGACTACATTCTGGTGACTAAGCGTTACCACAGCCCATATCATTTCTAGATTAGTATGAACGTGTACAGATGATGATGGGATTTCACTTGCCCGTGTCTTCGAAAGGCTACCCCAACTAAATAAGCTGGAAGCGCCTACTCAGGGAACTTCGCACCCCACTGTTGCTTGTTTCTTTTTAAAGTAATGTTGACCTTGTTGCTATCATAATTGATGTCTTGCCTGACGCATGGCTTGCCAGAGCGTGAGTGAGAGCTACTGTGTCGAACCGAGGCATTTACTGCTGTTTTTTACGATACCCAAGTCACTTTCTCTTATTCTAAGAAAGGCACTTGTGGAACCAGGACAGTGAAGTACTGTAGAGCCTTCGCGTGCTGTTAGATGAGCCGCCCAACAAACAATGGTGCACTGCACCTCTTCTACAGTGCATGTGGAGAAACAGATAGCTCGTATACTCAAGAAAGCAAGAAGAGGGAAGAAAGAAAAAGAGGCGCTTCGTATGGACATCTGACCCGCACAAGCTAAAGATCCAGTGCCGAAATGGCAGCCAGCATCTCTGTCATGCTTTGTAGTTACCGTGATCTTTTTTATTGTGGTTGCGTCTGTTCAGGGTTTGATGAAGAAGCACACAGAAGAAAAATGATAGAGATTAGTAACCTCAGTTTGTTCCTATATCACGATCGCTTCTAGCGTTACATTTATACAATCATATGGCGGCAACCTTCTAGTGTCATTTCAACCCGCAGAGTTCAGGCAAGTGCCACTACGTGGCAGTAAGGTCAGCAGCGATGTGTAGTTTGTTGTGTAATTAAAATACTAAATCAACTGATATTGGCACTTAGACCTATGCAAAAATTATTTCCACCTATCGGTCTGC